AAAATAAAGCAGAAATGACAGGGAATAGGAAGGGACTTAATGAAGATGAAAATGGCATTTGAGAATCAGAAGAGAGGAAATCACTGTGAGAGGAAGAGGAGATAAAATTGATTAAGATGCAATGTGTACATGTGTCAGTTCCCCAAGATGAATGTAATCATTATGTATTACAAACACATACCAACTGGAAGGAAGAAAGGACAGGAAGAAGGAAGAAGGAAAGGAGGGAATGAGGGAAGGAAGGAGGGAAGGAAGAAAGGTAGAAAGATAAGAAAGCAGGAAACAAGAAAGAGGAAGGAAGGAAAATTACACTACAGTACACAGAAAATACAGATAAAATTTTAGCTAGCTGGTTTGCCTAATACTTTGGACACACTGGTATTTTATACCTTTTATATTCTTTTAGGAGAGTTCTCTATGAAGACCAAAGTAATTAGAGGCTTCTTTGAAGCTTCTGGAAGAAAGCAAGCATTTCCAACTTCTGTGTATTCACTGTTTGAAACAACAAGAGCAAAGTCTCATTTTCAACTCCCAGTTCAAAGGCCCACTTTTAGACCAGAGTGTAAGATCCAAGAAATCTGCTTTTCTTGTGTTTCCCTTAATGCAATTCTTATAAGTGATAGAAAATCCTGTTTTTAGAAAGGCAGCTTACAGGAATGCAGTGTAAGGAAAGGAAGACCTGCTCCCTGACAACCACACAGCAGCTTCACCAGTGCTCCTGTGTGCCACCCACAGAACCCATGGACCCCTGACTCTGAAGTGATTAACTCCAATTAACAGAGATAAAGATCAGCAGCTGCTGTAGGCTAAACTGTGTCCTCCAAAATGTTGTAATTTTAATTCTTACTACCTCAGTGTGAGCTCCTTATAAAATAGGATCTTTTTAACTTTGAAGAGGGAGCCAAAAAAAATAAAAATAGGGTCTTTATAGGTGTAATCAAATTAAAGGGAGGTATTTCTGGAGTTGATTTGGCTCTAATCCAATGACTAACATCCTCATAAAATGTCATGTGAAGCCTCGTTAATACCTGTGGGAAAAGTGGATATCCATATTCATAAGATTGAAACTAAATCCTCTCACTTTGTTCAAAAATCAACACAAAATGGATAAGAGATCTTGAGGTAAGACCTGAAACTCTGTAACTACTAAAGGTAAAGATAGAGGAATCACTTCACGATATTGGTACAGGCAATGAATTTCTAGATAGAACTGCAAAAGCATAGGAAACAAAAGCAAGATTTAATAAATGCATTACATCAAAATAAAAGTCTTCTGCACAGCAAAGGGAAAAAAAAGGTGAAGAAACAACCTACAGAATGAGAGAAAAATTTTGCTAGCTTTTTATCTGATGGAGAATTAATACATAGAATATATAAAGCATTCAAAAATATCAATAACAAAAGAATAAATATTTCAGGTAAAAAAATAGGTAAATGATCTGAATAGATGCTTTTCAACAAAAGAATTGTAAATGACATATAAATATATGAAAAATGCTCAATACTATTATATTTCAGGGATGTGCAATCAAAACTGCAATGAGATTTCATCTAACCTCAATTAGAATGAATATTATAAATAGAAAGTAACAAATTCTAAAGAGGAAATGGAGAAAAAAAGTTCCTTGTGCACTTTTGATGGAAATGTACCCTAGGATAGCAACTACGAAAAATAGTATGAACATTCCTCCATAAATAAATAGAAGAATTGCCATATACTCCAGCTACTGAAATTATGATCATAAGCTAAAGAAAGTGAAATCAGCATACAAAGAGATAACTGCATACTTGTATTTTTTGATCCCTATTGACAATAGCTAAGATATGGAATTAGCCTAGGTACCCATCAACAGATGAAAGGGGAAAGAAAATATAGTATATACACCATGGAGTATGACTCAGCCAAAAATGAAATCCTGTTTTTTGCAGAAAAATGAATGGAACCAGAGGATCCTTGGAAAACAAAGTAGGCTACTCAGTTTAAATAGAAGAGGATTACTAGGAAGAAGGGAAGATGCCAGAGTGAGGAGCTGATGAGGATGGAAAAGGTGTGTACATGTTTATTCCACATGTATGCAGGCATGGGTGTTATTATCAGAGTGAGTCTCATTCTGCTGCATAATTAATAGTTAATAATAATTATATGTTGAGAATCATAATAAAAAAGATCACATGAAGAGAGAATAACAAAAACAATAACTGGGAAAATATCGCAAGATAATGGAGGCAGAGGGTGAAGATGTGCTGTTCCAAACTAAATGCCACAGAATACTGAGAATTTCTAACAACCAAACCAGAGAGCACACATCATAGATTTTCCCTCCAGGCTTTATTTTACCTTCATTTCAGATTATTGGCCTAAAGGCCAATAAAAGAGTAAATTTCTGTTGTTTTAAGTTACTCACTAGGTGAAAAATTATTGCAGCCTTCACACAAACAGCAGTCGGAATCACAGTGGATCAGTATCCTTTGCCCAAAGCCTGAGCCCTGTACTTGGGAGGCTGATTCAAGAGTTCAAAGTCAGCCTGGGCTTCAAACCAAGTGAAAGATTGATCTAGACTACACAGAAAGATCTTACCTCAAAAAACTGAAGAGGGAGATGGATCTAGGAGATACAGAGGAAACTACTGTCCAAAGTATAAAGATGCAAAGAAAGCAGCTTCCTCTTTGGCTGATTGCACATGCTTTAATGAGGAATAATAGGAGCTTGAAACATTCTCTCACCCAAGAGACATGGGGAAAACATGACTTGTGAAATGAAGGGGTATGAGGATTTGTTTTTAATTGCTTGATATGGATTGGGTTTTGAGAAAACATCTTTAAATCTAACATAATTCAGGAAAGAAGCAATGTATTACAGGTTAAGAGGGAACTTTCCTCTGTTTGCCTATTAAATAAATTGTTTAATTAAAGAATTTGAGCATGTTGGCACATTCCTGTAATATTAGCTGATGTGGAAGGTGAGGCAGGAGGATCTAAAGTTCAAGGCCAGACTAGACAATTTACCAAGATGTAACAAAACAAAACTTTCAAAAAAGACTGAGGCTGTACCTCAGTGATAGTGCTCTTGTCTATCATGCATGAAGATCTGTGTTCAACCCCCAATACTACCGAGTCCAAAAACAAAGAGTTCATTATCTGTCCACAAAATAGTTTAGCAAGGATAATAAGAAAGAAAATATATTTGGAGCAGTATTGCTCAGTGGTGGGGTAATGTTAAAAATGTGCAAGGCACTGGGCTCAATCCAGGCACCACAAAAAAAATGTTCAGTCTAAAAACATTAAGTAAGGAAGTTAATGGAAAATCAATGTTCAAAGTCAGTCAAATGGGCAACTCAGTAGTAAGTGAAGAGAATTTTTAGCCATAAATATATTATTTTAAAAGCAAAGACAAATCAAAAATGAAATCACAAATCAGCTCCGAAGAGGACTAGAAAATCAGATGATACCTTATAACAAAATAAAAACTGAAAATGAACTATACTAATAAACTCTAGGAGACAAATATCATAAAGTGAGAGATCAAGCAGAAAAAAATTAGCAATCCTGAATATACAAACAATACAATTAAAGAGTTCCAAATGCTTGGCTTTATTCTCCAGCAACCATCCATCCCTGTCTTTGCTCTACAACTCAAACCAGTAGAAGTATGGCTCACCTCTACCCCTGAAGGGCATTTGTATCCTGTATCTGGCTCAAGGTTTTTCTACGCTGATTTTATTTATTTTTTACTTACATATAGTTACATGTTCTTTTTTAGTTTTGAATTTATTTCTTTTCAATTTCCTTTTACTTTTCTGGTATTTTAAAATATAGTATCTTATCTGTCACTGTGACATATTTGGAGGAGATGAAATACATTGAAGTATAAACTCACTTGTTATGCTGATCAGAAGTTACTTCTTTTAAAATTTTAAAGATTTATTTTTATTTTTTAATACATGCATGTACAAAATAAAAGATTTCAATTAAGAGGAATAGGGCATACAATAGTGTTTTATACTCCATTCTATTTATGCTGCTTAGGTTCCCAGTAAATGACAAGCAACAAAAGAACTTCTGTATATAAACTGGATAAAGTTATAAATTATCAGCTTTTTACATTCATTACTGGGAACTTATATTTTTCTAAAAAGTGTTCCTTTAAAGTAGTCCAATAATCCAGCCCTTCCTTACAAGCCTTTGCTACGATACTGTTTTGATCCTTATATTTCTTAAAACCTATCCTGTTTTTACTATTATATTTCTTAATTCCTCACCTACCAATCATCAGTCCAAATCCCACTTTCTAGTGACTAAAAGTCTCTTCTAAGATGTCTTTCCTCATTAAATCACATTTTGTTTCCACCCCAGACTTTATGCTGGATTATTATTTGTCAGTACTTATAAAATACATGTTCACTAACTGGAACTCATCTTTTCAGCAACACAAGAAAGTTAAGGAGTTAATGTCATAAAATGGAAAAAATCTTAGATTTTAGGGTTAGATAAATCCATCTTAAGGACCTAGATCCATTATGTGTAAGCCTGGGAGACTACCGTGGGCTTCCTAGCTGTACATTAGAAACAATAATGCCCAACTTCTAGAATGTTGCGCTGACAGAATGAAATAATGTATACACAAAAATCTAGTACAAGAACTAAACATACAGCTGTTTCTCAAGAAGAATATATTTTCTCCCTTCCCGCCTTCTATGTATTTCACCAATTTACTATTACTCTAATCAGGTCTTCTGATTAAAAATATCAGTTAACAGATCTCACACAAATGGATATTTAGGTATCCGATGAAGATGTGCACATGCTACTTTCTAGCCAGCTGCTCTGACAACACCCCCACCAGGGCTGCTAAGCCACTCGAACAAACACCCAGTTCCATGAGGCCCACATTCTCACTCCAGGCAGCACAAATCTCTGAGGTCTAAAATCAAAGTGCCCCATCATATAAAGGCGAAGTTACATGCCAAGATACAGCAAGGTAAACTGGAAGCCCAACTCACCTGCCAAAACCAGCTTCCCTGCAGCAGGATGAGACTTGTCCGCAGCAGCTCCAGGAGTACATTGTTCCGCATGAGGAACTCCATAAAGGCAAGCAGGCCCGTCACAAAAGAGACTAACACCAGCATCTGGTGCACAAAGATGTCTAGCATTTCCCGACCATGAGTATGATTGTGGAAGATAAAAGCTAATAATAAAAAAAAACACACACACACAGTTCATCCTTTTCAGCAAAGCACAAGGCTACCCACTGCCTTTCTGTCAACCTCTCTCTTTTCCCACAGAATTTTATACACACGCAGGCACAACTGTTTCAAAGGTCAGATCCACACTGACTCCAACAATAATGCATTTTTTTTCATTCTTGGAATCATAACTACCTTTTCATAATGGAATTTTGAAAATCTAACTTTCTTCAATCTTTAATCTAGCCTCTAACATGCCATGACATTTTTCAATTAACTATGTTTCAAAACATCACCTATCTAGCACGATAAATAATAAACACAGCAGGGGTGGATGCCTATATTTAGGGTACATTTGCAAATGAACAAACTGAAGCTGAAGATTCCTTGAATGAATGCAGTCCATAGGAGGAAGCAAATGCAAATATAATCTTAAAGGTGTACCCTGCTAGGTGTGACCTTCTAGAATCTCATTTCCTAGGAACAAACTGGGAATTGCCTTTCCAAGAAGTAGTAATTAGCTGCATTCTTTCATTTCATGGACAGAGTCCAGTTCCATCTAGCCATTTTATTCAAAGAAAATAAGATATTCCTTCAAAATATAAACATCCTGAGATAATGAGAATTATGCTATCAGTGTTTGGCATCTATCCTTTATCTAGCCTTTGTTCTCAAAGTTCTTATCTTCAAATGGGGGAGATGAGAAAAGTCAGCAAGTGACTGTCTCCTAGTCATTTGGGGCTTTTGTTGTTGCATAATAAACTTATTTCTTATATCTGTAGTAAATAAAAACAAATCATTAAACACTTGTTTACTTTCTCTACAGAAAACAGGAAAACCAGCTAAATAAAAACACTCATTTTTATCAGTCTTTCAAAATTAAAGCCTCACAATTTGTAGTTGAATGTTTTAGATCCTACTTTCCATGTTTAGTGACAGAGTTTTGCCATACTAATATGTTAGGAGCTGGTTAGTAAATAATGAAATGTGTTCTGCTGTAAGTGATTGCTCCATTTCTGAATATTCTTGGTCCATTTCTCTAAGTTCAGTTTTCTTTCTTAAAAACGGGAAAATTACGGTCTCCCAGACAACCAGGAGGTAAGAAACCACTGCAGGTAATTCCTTAAGAAAGGTGTGAAATGTGAATAAAGCGTATTTTAACTGTGCTTGACCAGTTCCACTAAATTAATCTGTAAGGAAGATCTTCGCCTCCTGCCTAAGACTGCCAAAATGTCTCACTTTGATCTATTAATCAAAACTTCACTAAAGCTGTATTACTAAAAGGAGCTACACAAATGCCTACTTAGTAGAAAAAGTACAAAAAAATACTCATACTTACTCTCCACAAAAAATGCATTTGACAATATTAACTTGATTAAGGAGACTGGAAGTGGACTGATGGTGAAACATAAGATATTAGCCACACCCACCAGCCCAAAGAAGAAATACATGGTACAATGATGCCAGCCGGTCAGTTGGTTCCACTGGCCTTCTTTGTATAAAATCAGGTAGGGTCCTCCAGAAATAAACTGTTCCCCAACTATACCTGAAAAAGAACATATCACAGTTTCCATAATTATACCTAGCATGTGTAGTAGCACAAGAGAAGTATGCCCATTGCCTGTTCCAATCTGCTGTTGTCTTGTGTCATTGATTCCTTCTCTGAGTTGTTCCCTAATAGGCTAGCAATGGTTATTTAGGCTTAAAAAATAAAAAATAAAAAATAAAATTAAAAGTATTTTTTAAAACTTCAATTTTAGTTAAAAATTACTAATTTATTCAAACAGCTACTTCAGATCTTCAATACTAATGGTTTTAGTTAAATTGTCTATTGCATTCTAATGACTGAGGTAAATCTTGACTTACTTAGGGTTTTGGATTTATGGGATTAGCCTTATAAAGGCTGATTACTTCTTAGATATTACATCTTTGGGGAGCCTCCACAAAATAAGAGGTTGTCCTGGCTTCTCAATAAAAGTGCTAAAATGTTCTGCTTTCCCTAATAAGATAACAAAGAAGACTCGGACAGATATAGCATATGATCTAGTCATTTACACAAACAATTTAATTTTCTTTGAGATGTTTCCTTATTTGTTAATTCATTGAATTTGTTTATTTGTTTATTTTAGCAGTGGCAAAGTTTATTTGAAATGAGGGAGAAACTTGCTCTGCAGAGAGAACTTGGGCTGAGTAAAAGGAAAAAGCAAGATAACAGTACACCCTGGAGAAAGGAGCGTGAACTATCATGAGGCAAGCCAAGCTATCAAGCTCTTCTAGGCATGTGTAATCCACTGAATTTAGCAAGGAAATTTCTTCTTGGAAATGGTTACTCTGTAATTTTATGGCCATAGCAAAATCCTATTGTCATAGAGAAAGAATGAAAAAAAATTTAATAAGAGGTTTTATCTTGTACAAAAGAAAGATTTTAGGAACCTAAATAGGACCCTAAAACAGAATATTTCATAGAATCCATATTACTGAACCACATGAACTTGATTATTTTGGTGTCATTTGAAAAACAGTTTCTAACAGTTTTCATTTCTCCAAGTATTAAAACCATCTATATTAAAATTGTTGCAAAGATTCTAACAAATTCTGTAGGGGAAATTCACTTTGACTGGGTAAGCAAATTAAGTTTTGTGATTAATTCATTAAGGAATAGGCTTTTGTGTAAACATAAAGTATCAATTTCCTAACAAACTGTTATCAGATAAAAGTTATAATTAGGATGTACATTGAGTCACAAAATTCTTTATAGCAAATTTTCTATTTTGTATGTTGAATCTTCTTTTTATATGTGGATATACCTCAAAGAAGAAATTGGAATACAGAAATGTCCTACTCACCAGTTAAGGCCATGCAGATTAATGTAATTCCCTCCAAAATTTCCATTCGATGGAATAATGTTTTGGAATCAAGGTGGCAAGCCCTCATTTGCTTTTTGCAGACATACTTCAGAATACTCTTTGTACTCCACCAAAAACCCATGATTAAAAAGAAGCTTCCAGGAAGGATATGACCTTTAAAACTTCCCATGATCTACAAAAATAAGAATATATAAAAAGCAGACATTTCATTTTAGGAATTGACCAAAATATCTCTTATCTACATAGAATATGCTACCTTTTGATAATTATGGACACATTGTAGATCCCACTATTATACCAACATCAATGAATATAAAATACAAATTCACATTTTTGAACACTTTCCATGTAATAAGCAATGCCAAATGGTTTACATGGTACCTGTAACCTTATTTTTGTAGCATACACATGCATGAGAGAGTATTAGCTCAATTTCAGTTATGATACTGGCTTAGAAAATTTGTAACTTGCCCAGATCTCACACCCATTAGGCAAGACTTGCTCAAAAGAATTTCTTTAAAAGGCAGTATGTATTTTAGCATACAGTTGACCTTTAATTATATTTAAAACTAACATAAAAGTTTGATCCATATGTTTAAAATTTAAAGTAATATTAAATTGCTTGCAAACCAATGTTATAACTAGATAATTTCAAAGCATCAAACATCAGATTGAGACCATGAGAGTTCATCAAATGTTTTTGTGTTCTTTTCCACACCTTTCAGCCTCTCTTTTTGTTGGACTGGAACTATATCTTTACGTTTTGGTTGATGCACTGAGTCACTTCTAGCCTGAGGCTGTCAGGGCTCTAATTCTTTTCTCTCTCTCTTTCCCTGTCTTCACATCTTTGGCATGGCATTATCTCGAACACAAAGGATAATTACGCACCCTGCTTCAGAATTTTCAAGGAACAACACTTAATTGCACTAATCTATTGAAACTTTGAGGTTTATCTTTCAATTTAGTCCTTAAGCAGACGTATACCAACCACATTATATTGAAAATTTTGTTTACACTATATCACATGATAGAGTCACCACTGATTAATAGAAACACCCTCCATTTTGGGCCAATGATATAAAAATCAGTCTTGAGCTTTTAATGACACAAGTAGCTCTTTGTTCAAACATATTATATCAACAGAATAATGAAAACAGGGTCAAGATCATCCTTGTTTATTTAACACTAGGTCAGAAAGATCCAATTCCAACACATGAAAGAGAGTTTCAAAGGTCCCCCTGGCCCACGAGAATACTTTATCTCCTTCAATGAGTACAGTACATCTCAGTTGCAAGGCAGACCATTTTAGGTTACTTTAAAGGTCCTCTGAGTTTAAGGTAAACTTTCAGAAAACAGCAAAGTGGACCCAAACACCAATCCCAGATGCTCATTTTAGTGTAACTTTGAATCATTCAGGCCACCCAAAAGAATCAAACTGAATAATCATATAGTACTCAGGGCAAGCTCTCAACCTAACTTTGACTTTTGAGTCCCGGTCATGACCTTTAACCTTTCTTAGCTTTAGTTCTTAATAAATAAAAGGAGCAAATGAGCCCGAATAATCCAGTTCTTGCTCTATCTATTTCGTTATCCCAACCATCACCTGTATCACAGTGTTACTGAAGCTATCTGTTTGTTTTGATTTGGGCAATCCCATAAGAACGACAGACATTTGTCTAGTAATTCTATGGGATTGTAAAGTTTTTGAACTTTTCTTAAAAAATTTCATATGATTTAAAAAATCTTATAAATCTTATATAAGATTAATAAAATCTTATAAAACATTTTATATTCTATTATATGGGTAACTAATTTGCAGGAATTTATCCTGAAAACACATTTGGAAATGTATACACAAATTAAAAATAATATATGTGTCAAAAATTAGGAGAATGAATAAATGATTATGCATCTACCAAAACACAGTTTTAAAATGTATTTAATGATAGGACATATATTTAGTGACAAAAATAGGATAAAAATTAGGGGCAGTGGCTTGAATTCAGATTGAGTAAGTCTGAATGCCAATTTTATTATTTACTAACTACATGGTTTTGGCAAGTTATTTAACCTCTCAGCTTCTAAATCTCCTCTTCTAGAAAATGAGATAAATAATTTTTACTTCATAAAATTAAATTGAGTTACTCCAAAGCAAACAACATATAGTACTATTTAAAAACAAAAACCTCATGCTATCCTCAAACTACCAAAGTAAAACCAAATAAAAAACTCATTGGACACTAGTTACAGAACAGTAAAATTTCTATACAATTATTCATGTGACAACTACAACATTTTGTCTAGTAATCTTAAGAGAGTTATTGGGCCCCCCTTTGGTCATTCAACTTCTTTAATAAATAGTAAATAAACTCCTTGATAAAAGGAATAATAAATCTATTCTTCTAGTCCCATTGGAACTGAAGTTAATAGTGTCTTATATACTATTAAATTTTAAAGTAATAAAAATAACAAGTTTTTCTTATAATACAAGATCATTTACTTATAAAACATCACTGATGTCTCAGAAAGCATTTATTTCATACCTAACATACCTACAAGTGAGCTACACATTTTATTTACAACTCCCAGCCAGAAAGTAACTTTTTCCAGTTGCCTACTGGGGGTAATTCATATTTGACAACACTATATCATTCACCCAAATCCAAATATGAACCCATCCTGGGGTGTTCCTACGTCCCTAAAAATAATTACTCATTGAGACTTATTGTCTTTGCTCCTAACATCAACATTCCCCAACACAAACTTAGATGAATTCCCCCAAACTGCTTCAATTTCATGTGCTTCTTCAAAATTTCTCTGATGCCCCAACAGGAGAGGTTTTCACTTGTGTCTTCTCAAGGCCCCAGTCTTCACTCCACTTTAATGACTTCTATGTGGGATTAGTTGTAGAAAACATTGTCTTTTTTTTCTCTATGATCTCAACATATCATAAGAGCTACAAGGACGTTAACTGGGGCCTTTCAGAAGTTAGAGGACAAGCTATCTCTAGTTTTTCTTTTGCATATTTTAAAAAGAGAATGTGAAACAAAATTGCAAAAATTACAGTTGCTTTTTAAATACATTTTTTATTTGCTTAAATTTACCTATTAGTATTTTCAACATAACAAGTAAAACGTATTGCTTATGTCATAAACTTTACAATGAGGATCCCTCCTGAACGTATAATTCCTGACCCACCTCTAGACCCACTAGCAAGAGCCTGCTTCCTCACAGAGAAGAGGAACAACACATCTCAGCCCATGCACCGGAACACAGTAAGTAAGCAATAGAGAGTTGTGGAAGGTTTTTAATGAAGGACATGAGGCAATCAGAGTGAAAGGAAAAAAGTGAGCACAGGCCAGGTCTATCAAAGAGAAAACTAAAAATAGCCCAGAGATCCTTCTAGTAGGATCTCAATCAAACAGCTAATTTCAATGCAAAATGAAAGCAGTACTATGATGAGAAGACACTCAAGCTAAAATTTTATCCTGAGCCATCACATACAACCACAAGCACTGTATCCCTGAAACTTAATTAGTGACTCATGGTTCAAGACAGATTTTTAAATTGTGAAACAGTGAATAAATATATACTATGTCTTTACTGTATTATTTCACTCATTTTACCACTTGTCTCACTAACAGCAAAGTATATACAAGCATATGTAGCTTTAAAATTTCTTGATTTTTCATCATTCCATTCCAGCACTTTCCCACATTTCAATTGTTTTGATAGAATTGTCATAAATTATCCTTACCTTTGCAGTTCCTCAAAGTCAAGTCCAACTCAGATCTCTTCTCTTAATAACTTACAGTGGTTTTGGAAAAGTAGATTCTGGCTGACTCTAAATCTAAATCTGCTTCCTTCTCATCCTGTAAGACTAAACCAGTGTGCTTATCTTTTCAACATGAAGTCAAGCAGATAAACTTTCAGACAATATCACAATGTATTTAAATCCAACCTCCTGACCATCCTGCCTCCTTGTCTGGCTGTTTTGCCATAGACTAAGTGATAATCACCATGCTATCCCACACACTAATGTACTGACCTCAATAATGTGCTGCCTGCTCTGAGAAGCAAAGCCAATGGAGCAAAAGTTACGTTACCTTTTTATGCCAATCAAGATGGGTAACACTAATATGATTAATATAAACTCTAAGACAAGAAGCCAGTTCCTGTCATACAGGTATAAGAGTTGAGTCATAGGCATAACTGAAGTCATAATAGAAATGAACAAACACACAGAAGGCTGATTTCATTTGAAAACATATCCTAATCTTTGTCTGCACTGTATGGTAGGAAATAGGTACTTGAGGAACCTCCTAGAGGATAGACACTGCCTTTACTTAAGCAAATGTAAGAAATGGGAAAACCATAAAAGCAGAAATATCGAAACATGGCTTTACTAACAAGCTGATTATAAGTTATTTGAGAATTGTTAGTGAGACTTTCACACATAAATGGGAATAGGGTTCTATATGAGAAAGGCATGTGGTGGAGCTAATTGTAAAATAGCATAGAGGATAAGGATAGGTTGGATGACAACCAGTGTGTAGTGGGAAATCAGCATAATGATAATGGAGAATGTCTTAAGTAGAAGAATGATGAAACAAGAGTTTTGATCTGCTATAGTTTCTCAATCACTAGAGTCCAGCCCCACCCATCATCCCATTGGGAAGAGGATGAGTGTTTCATCACAGGTTATACTGCACCTTGGCAGATTATTGCACCTTGGCAGCATACTCTTATTTGAATAAAAACATATTTTAATCTGCATTTCTTTGATGATTAACAATACTTTGCATTTTCTCATATACAGGTAGCCCAACTGTTTTTTCCTTTTGAAAAAGTATATACAGATCTTTTGCCTATTTCTTTAACCAGATTAGTGTTTTGTTTTTACTATCGAGTTGAGTTCTTCACCTATACTGCACATAAATTCTTTGTCAGATACATGATTTGCAAATGTTTTGGCCCATTCTGAAGACTATCTCTTCACTCTTGATTGTTTCCTTGAACATGCAGAAGTTTATAGTTTGATACTATTCCCTTTTTGCTTTTGTCATCTGTATTTTTGGAGTTTTACCAAAAAAACCCCACTTTACACCAATTAGAATGACTTTTCAAAATTATTTTTTAAAATAAATGCTGGTATGGATGTAGAGAAAGATG